AAACATACAAAGGACAGCGAATCTACTACGATTTGCTGAAGCAATTGCAATCAAACGTCTCAGACCAAACTTATGCACACAGAAAGAAAGTGTAGTCAATCTCTAACTACCTTGGTAACCAAATCACTTCCATTACACTGATTACTCATACACACTAGTGGGCTCAACTCACTAAGCAAGTTTTCAAATTGATGAACTTGGACTTTGTTGAGTTGCCATGTTGTGACTGTTTATTAGATTTTTCTGTTTTCTATCTTCTCTAACCCCCCTTTTTTCTTTTTTCATAGTTTGATAGTATATAAATTGATGGTAACTTAAACTGTAAATTGTAATCCTTGTATACCGGATGCGTTCATTTTATGTTTTCTCTGTTACCTTTCAAACAATGAAGAATGAAATGTTATTATTTATAACCATTGTAATTTCAGGTAGTTTGCAGCTGATGAGAACCTGTGAAATAGAATGATGTCATTTTATACTGCAAATCTGGTCTTTCTTTCTCTATCGAAATGAATCAGTGGAACCAAATGTTTGAAAAAAACCAACAGTCGACAGTTTCGTGAAGTAATGTAAGGTTCTGGTTTGATAACCGTCTCTAACTCCTTTTCTAACCCAATCCTATGTCATCTAGCATAGATGGATGAAAAACGGAATGGGTCGGCATAAGTAACACGTCTCCTAGCCATCCGAATAAATGCAGATTCACAAACAGCATCGATTAACTTTTCCTTCTAATCTGAATATCACTCAACATAATATACCATGTAGCCATAAGCTTAGCGACAGATTCTGTCATAATTGATTCAAAGCTTATCATAGAGATGTCACTAGAAAATTTGTAATTTTTTGTGTTTGAGTTGAACGTTGGAAACAAAAGTGAGGAGGGTAGTAACAGAATATTTAGACAGATAACTTATGTGGTTACGCAAGTCACTAGGAAACTGAACAAGGTAAGAACGACAAATGTGTACCGGGATAATATGAGAGAGTGCTAATCTTTTATTTTTTCGTGGATTCTTCTCAACCGGTTGGTTGATTATGCCCTGAACAATACAGAAATTAAAAATTACATTAAAGGTTTGAACATACTTCTTCTACGTGGTGACATGAAGCAACTGATGGGAACTAAGACTGACATAAGTGCAGAATGATGTTGAATAATTAAGAATAAATGGAAGATTTTATCATGTGCTGACATCAGCTAGAGAACCATTGTAAAAAACCAGCTGGGAGTACTGGACAGCTGTTTCGTCAGTCTAGTTTGCCACTCTTCGTCAGCACGCACCCACTGGGGTTGAAACCCAGGACATTCTGGTTACACGGCTAGTGAGCTTGTAGACCATTCAGCAGCCACTGGGACCCGATCAAATGACCAGTTCATGAATTCCAACTTCTGCCAATTCACGATAAAGCGCGGCCATTTCGCAGTGTCCTCTTCGATGAGTTACTGCCTCATCTTCAACCTGCCGTACCTTCCCACTAGAACCTCAAGTCACTACTTGAATATGGAAAGTTGCTAGTGAGCATCAAATTAATTTTCAAATATTGGTTTTTAAGAGATGAGATCGTTGACTGTCTATTCTATAATTAGACGAATACACCTGAGCAGTACCACTGAGTAGCACAAGAAAAGATCTAAATGATTAAATAAAACAGACAGAAGAAGCGTTGGTATCAAATAACTAACTATCCCACAAAATTCATTAGGAAGATCAGAAAAGGTCAAAAGTAGAAATAAAAATAATTGTGAAACTAATGGTGATAAAGTAAATAAGAGAGAATATTAGTCATCTACGGTTATACCATATAAGGAGGGAGGGGACATCTGAGACACACCCTACGTAAGATTATTTAATAAAGCAGGAATTCCAGTGGCATTCAAACTTACAAACGTACTCAGGGACAAGTTCTATAGGTGAAACGACCCTGTCGGTTGACCCAACCAGACAAATTACATAATATACAAAATACGTTGCAATAACTATTAGTGAGATCAACTACATAGGTCAATCAAACTAGTAGATCGAATGGGGTAGTCCGATTATAGGAACATAAGAATTAAGCTAAGGTTAGAATGATTGACCCCACCAGCGAAGATAAGTAATTTAAAATAAAAACTCAGCTATCGTACTGAATGCATTAACACACAACCACAAAATAGGGTGGGTGAGATAGAGTTAAATTCCTAAACAGTAATATAGACAGATGGAGAAGGCAGTTGATTACGGAATCGTGATTCATCGAGTCTACACCCCACACGTGAAACAGAAACGACTCAGCAGTCATACCGGAAATATGGAAAATACTACTACCAATCAAATCAAGCGATGGTAAATATTGGAATTATATAAACGAAGTTGGAAAGTTGTGTGAGTAGTCCCTTGATATGATTATGAGTGGTAATAATTTGTGCTCGAAACGTGGTCATCATTAAATATTATCGTATAACACTGTGTGTGACTTTATCAAAATAAATTTTACCCATAATGGAATACTCTTGAGAATGAAGTTCAAGATTTTCGGGGTAGAAATGAAGTTTAACTAGAAGGAGTATATCGACTGACACGTTACGTAACCACAGAAAATATGTTTTTTGTAAAATAGACAACAAAGGGGATAAGGTGAGTCTTGTTTAGATGAAACAATAAAACCTTCTAAACACAATAGATGGTGACGTAATAAAACTGATACATTCTTTCGATAGCTCTATCGTTTGTGGGGTTGATAATTTTTGAGTGGTTTAGATTATCTTATAATTTAAACGACTCAGTATTTGTTGCTCCCCTTGCTCCTCAATTTTTTTCATTTTGTTCGAGTCACGTCGATCCAACTGCACAAATAAATACAGCAGGTATTTTCATATTTTGTTAATTTGACAATTCGTTTCATCTAAATACCAGGATCGTTCTTAAATATTACTGTTCCGCATTTTATCTCCAATGAAATAAAGTATCAAATGGTTGGAGCCTCAAGATTTCGTGCTATTTGGCACTCGTCAGTCAGTAAGGCGTAACTGCAGCCTTGAAGGTATTCGTGTCTCTTCTGAGGTTTGAACCTGCGTCACCCAGTGCTACAGTCAGTCGGAAACGTTACCACTGAACTAATCGCAATCGCGACAGACTTCCTTTAGAACTGTATTGAATACTTTTTTGATTGGACATTAGGTGGCTCGCAACCTAGAATGCTGGCCACATGGCAAACTCGATTGTAATAGAATTCAGTCTGCACCAAATAAAGCACTAGACACACTACACTAGTCACTGATTAGCGTTCAATCAAAATAAATTACGTTGAAACTATCACACAAGTACTGAAGTTCATTATTTAGTTCTTATGCAATTGATAAAAGATACTAACCGACGAAATATACGATAGGTTTGGTTTCTCCTGTTCAAATTCATTTTTGGGGGGAAGTTCATAATTTCGTCACCACATCATTTACAGTAAAGGTAAAATATGTTACTAATGCCTAAATTATCTCCACATCGAAATCCCCAAGTTTTAAGCCACTATGGCTAACATGAATGCAATTTTTGGTGCCTGAACGAAAGATATTTTACTAAATAAGTCAAAAACAACATAGCGACATAATGGAGAAGATTTATAGCTCAGTTGGATGATATTGAATTAGTTGTGTACTGTAAGCTGCTAGTTGATTTAATTGCGAAACTTTCGTCGTCCTTCTAGACAACATCTTAGGCGCAAGTTTTAGTATATAATGAACTTATTTAAATTCTCCATGAATGATATAGTTGTATCTCCCTACTGACAACTACTCTCCTGACTGGTCTTTGTTGATTTACGTCTCTATTGATCATATTTTTATTGACCTGGAGGTCGAACTTTCTTGTCATGTGATTTACCTTTTATTAGCTGATAAATTCGGCCAACAATAATGTGTTTTGTTACAGGATTTTATCATGAGCTGACATTGGTTAGAGAAACATTGGAAAACCTGCGAGGAGTACTGGACAACTGTTTCGTCAGCCTAGTTTGGGACTCTTAAGCAGTACGCATCCACGGGGTTCGAAATCAGGACCTTCTGGTTACAAGGCGAGCTCGTATACCATTCAGCCGCTGGGACCCGATCCAATGGTCCATGAATTCTAACTTCTGCCAATTAACGATATAGCGCAAACGCTAGCCAACGTCTTCGGTGGGTGCGTACTGCTGAAGAGTCACAAACTAGGCTGACGAAACAGATGGCCAGTACTCCCTGCTGGTTTTCCAATGGTTCTCTAACCAATGTCAGCTCATGATGAAATCCTGTACCCAATCAACCAAATCCCAACAAACCAATACTTGAATAATGTGTTTGTTAATCGCTGGCTGATTCATTTGAGTACCAGGCTTGTAGGAATTCCCTGACTGAATTTCTTGTGTTTTCTCTATGTAGAATTTCTACATTATCTCGATCATCACATTCGAAGGGAACGCCCACATTGTTGACCGATGTAATGTTTATTACAGTTCATACATACAATTTATTTTGTATAAACGGTATTAATTTTATCTCCTTCTTCCGTTGGATCTTTTGGTTTGCACAATATCGGATAAAGTAACTGTGCTGGCTGGAGAATTTAAATAAATCCATTTTATACTAAAACCTGAGCTGAAGATGTTGTCCAGAAGGACGATGAAAGCTTCGTAATTAAAATAACCAGCAGCTCAGAAAACACAACTAATTCAACAATACAATGCCACTGAATAAAATACACTTGAGTTGTTCTCAATATAAAAAATATTTGGTCTTATGAAAGAAAGCATAAGTGAGTATACTACGAAGAGTAGCACACTTCATTCGATCTGGGACTCATCAGCCTGATTTACCCACAGTCCTTAATCAGTAATGAAAGACATTCCCACTGAAATTCGGACCAAATACCTATCTTTCAAAAGCCAAAGCATTACACACTAGATCACTTGAGCTAAAAACCTCTATCAAAATCAATCAAATAGGAAAGACACAAATTGACTTAAAAAAAACTATATACGCTTACTTTCTTTTGTCTCCTCAGTAGTTCTTCCATACTTTTCGTTGTACAATTCGTCTTGAATGTTGGCATTCTGGTTGCTTGTTGATTGTCTTGTCGTTGTAACTGTTTAAGTTGTTGCAGTTGCATTTGTAATTGCTGGTGTTTATGAAATAATACATTACTATTATTGCTATTATTATTATAGTGAGCACTATTGGCAGTAGTATTGATAGTATTAGTATTATAGCTACTACTACTACTAAAATCTAATAAATTTGGAGTAGAGTTCATTTTATTCCGACTGCTTCCACTCATCACCGTGACACCACTATCACCAATCCCTCCCCCACTGAAACCAGTCAACTCATGAATAGATTGTGATGATGATGACGTAATTCTTTCTATTGATTGATGATTGATTGGTTTAAATGCTGTTTCTGGTGAAGGAAGAATTGCAACATGATGACGTGGTACTGCTGGTGGTGGGGGTGGAGGTGCATGTACTGATAACGAAAGTTCATCGCCATCATCTTCAACACCAACATTATCTCGACTAGTACTAATACTCCCACTCTTGAATAAGGCTACTGTTGGTGGTGTACTCGATTGATTGTAAGGATAGGATAACATGGACAGGTGAGAATTCGATATTTTTTGATGTAACATATGCTCAAAGTATTTATGTTTCGGTAGGCGTTCAGATTTCCTTATTCGATGATTAGTATGACGATGAGAGGGGTAATTATTTAAAGGCATTGGTTGATAAAAACTGGACGGTTCATCTGAATCAGAATAATTATACTTCAGATCAGATTGTCTTGTAAAAAATTGGAAATATTTATTATTATTAGTTGCAGTATAACTGTTGTCATAGTTACGGGGTTGATTGTAAGAATACTGTTGTAGTAGACAATTTGGTCTTCCTGATAATCCAGACTGCTGCTGTTGCTGATGTGGATGAGGAGGATAATGTTGTTTTTCTTGTGAATAATCCATGTCAAACACTTGACCAGTCGGTTTTGACTGTTGTTGTTGCTGCTGTCTTCCAGACGGCCCACCTGGCGCTGACTCACTGTCATACACAACCAGTTTCTCATTCATTACACAAATATCCTGTTAACACTTCAATCCTGTAAATTTTCTTGATCAGAGAAAAGAAAACTTATAATAATAATCCATGGGTTTTTTTTTGAAAATATTTATCTCATTTTAAATCTAAATTATGATAGAAAAAGTGAGTTTATATACATTTTATCAATTTTATCTGGCTATTGATTACACCGTCTTATTATCACGTGTCATACTTTTTATATATTCCATGTGTGTTTACAGCATAATGTATTCCGTTAATTTCTGATTGGTCAATTCTAGTTGATCATCAACTGGCATACTAATGACCTTGATTACTAGCTATTTGATTGGCTAACACAGAATTGAGATAAATTAGACTGCTTAAGGAATGAATAAAATTTAAATTTAAATCTTTTTAGATTTTTTAAAATGTTTATTTGCTCATAATGTTTACTTTAAACCCAATCAGGTATTATTAATATTCTAGAGATCTCAGGCAGTCTGATTAAAAGTTGGGCGATAGAAAATCCTGATTCTTATATTGCATATTTAATTTTTCATGTTCACCTTGTTTAATTCTCCTAAAATGTGACCTCTAATAATATTGTTTACTCCTGCGAGCATCAAAAATGTTTACAATCTGGTGGTTCTCAGGTTTCTGTTAAACTTAGGAAAAAGCATAATCCTGGGTGGCAACGTTTCCGAATACATGAGATACTTGTTCCTGAGATTTTCGTCTATCACAAACCGTCACTGTCTAAGAAATAAAACTCACTATCTGCAGTCTTTAAGAATTTCCTCTTGAACTTTTTTAAAAATTGGTTTTCAAACCGATGTCATACATTTTTTGAAAGAGACAAAGAAAAAATAACAAAAGCGATAGGTTTTCTATTGACGTTTGATAACATTGTGTCATGTGATATTAGTATAAAACTTGGGCATTGGTGCGGTAGATAAATAATTAAATTATGGATAAAATTTCATTATTTGTAATACAGTCAGATTTACTGATGACAACGTTTCAAGCACAATTGATTACTGCTCATAATCATATGTAGGCACTCACTTACACAACTTTCTTGCTTCATTTATATACATGAGTGAAACTGATGATTAGACATTTGAATAAAATCAATATAAGATAAAGTAAATTCGGAAACAATAATATTAGTGTTATCAATCGAATACAGTCAGATGGAAAATAAGATGCTTTTATAGTAAAAATAACTAACTTGTTAGAATGTTATGACAGCAGTTGAAGTACATTTTAACATTATTTATCCTCCTCTGATTTGACCTGTGGTAATAATATCTTCCATACATATCTCTGGTATTTGCGTTGAGTCACTCTTATTGCATGTCTTGTGCTGGGTGTAGACTCGAGGATCGAAGCAGGATTCAGTAATCAATCTCTCTCTCCACTCACCTACCTATATTACTTCTTAGAATTTTAACCCTCCCCCATCCTATTGTGTGGTTGTCTGTTAATGGATGCTGTGTAAATCCTGACCTTTTTCTAAATCGCTTATCTTCGTGGGTTCAGTCATTCTCACCATAGCTAAATTCTTATGTTCCGACAATCTGACTACCCTCGATCTACTAGTATGACTGACCTATGTAGCGGACCTCACTAATAGTCATCGCAAGGTGTTTTTGGTTGGAGGATTTCATCATCAGTTAGACAATCATTGCAAAACCAGCTGAGAGTGCTGAACAGCTGGTTCGCCCGCCTAGTTTGAGACTCTTCAGCGGTGTGCACCTTCCATGGGGGTTCGAACCCAGGAGCTTCTGGTTACACGGCTAGTGATCTCGTAGACCATTGAGCCACTAGGAGCCAATCCAGTGGCCAGCCCATGAATTCTACCTTCTGCCAATTCACGCGCAACATAGCGCGACCACTTCGTAATGTCTTCTTCGATGAGTAACCGTCCTCACTTTCAACCTGCTATACCCTACTGGTCACAGCTTCCCACCAGAACCCCAGGTTAATTGCCTGAATAGGGCCAGTCGCTAGTGTACATCTCATTGATGTTCAATTATTGGTTTTATAGGGATTCTTCACTCAAAATCGTGAAAATTCAGGCAGTTTTATTTTTAGAATTCATCATTTAAAACATGTGTGATGAAGATGACTTCTTCCGGTGAACTAATGACTTTTTGCGTTGTTGAAGAGCTCTATCCACTGAGATGCAAAAAGTTGTTTAAAGATGGAAGCAATTAATTCAGACATATTTGCAATTTGAAGACATCAAATTCACAAGAGAAGAAGAATTAGATAACAAAATCCCATTTTTAGACGTCTTAATCAGGAGAACCTACACAGGGGATTTAGAAACACAATTATATAGAAAATCAACGCACACAGATCAAATACTCAACTATACTAGCAATAATCCAGTTACTCACAAACGAAACTGGATGCAGACATTGTTTAAAAGAGTTCAAACACATTGCAGCACTCCAGAGTTGAAAAGAATGGAAGAAAATTACCTACAAACGGTCTTCAAAAAGAATGGTTATCCACAAAATTTCATGAAAAAGTGTTTAAAGTCGTATCACAACACCAACAAGGAACCATCATCAAAGACCACAAGAAAATTCATCCTACCATACATGAGGAATATCTCTGAAATAACAGCCAGAATACTGAAACCGTTTGATATAGATATAGCACACAAGCCAGTCAAATAGCTTAATTCGATATTATGCAAACCAAAAGATCCAACAGAAAAAGGGGATAAAATTCATACCATTTACAAAATAAATTGTATGAATGGCAACAAACATTACATCAGCCAAAGTGCGCATCCCCTTCGAATCAGAATCCAAGAACATAAATCAGCCATGGAAAGACACGATATAAATTCTTTGGTATCAATGCATATAGACAAATATACTCATGAATTTGATTGGGATAATGTCGAAATCTTAGACAGAGGAAACACGAAAAGTGCAGTCAGGGAATTCCTAGAAGCCTGGTACTCAAACGAAAATGCGATTAACAAACACGTTATTATAGATGAAACATACCAATTAATAAAAAGTAAATCTTCTTCTTCTTTTGGGTTCCGAGTGAAGCATAGGGCTTCAACAGAAAATTTCAGCATCACTCTGTACTCAATAATCCTTTTAAGTTGGCTCTAAAATTTCCCATAAGCTTTCAAAACCTCGCCACATGACCACTTTTATGTCACCCTCGAACCTACGCCCAACTAGTCACTTCTAAGTCGGATTCAATCGGAAGTTCCATCGGGTATATAATGTCACTCAGCAGTCTACTAGGAGTACGTCTAATCCCACTCCTTTCTCCTCTGCCTATTTGTTGACCGATAGCTCCATGGTTATTACATTGAGGCAGTTCCTTGTTGTTGATACTTTCCAGCCGTCTAACTAATCTTTATTATGGAGAGAAGGCAGCTGTAGATATAAAGTCTGAAGCTTCTTATAAATGCTTATGTTGTCATAGCGAATCTCTAAGCTATACAGAAGAGCGGACTGACTTGACATCTTGTTCCTCAGGTTTAAAAAGTTCAGTATTTATGAATGCGTCGGTGGCACAGCGGTTATGACTCTCACCGAGCATGTACATGGTCCGGGGTTCGATCCCCTGCCGACGCACACATAATATCTATGGTCGGCCTGCAAAATTTGGGCTACCGATATCACATGCTGAAAATTCCATACCTGTACCAAAAAATACGGTGTGAAGTCAAGCTGTAATCAAAAATAATGAAAAATACAGGCTAGACTGTGATTTTTTAGTTGATTAAAGCTGGCGGAAAATTCTGGGCAACACCTCTTGCCTAACTCATAATCAAACACTAGCGTGTTTAAATTGACTTAGTGTCCTTATAAGAGTGCTATTATCCTTCATTAATTAGAATTACTGTTTGGATTAGAAGCGTCGTATCCCTACCACTAAGTATATGAGGTAATACAAATGAGCACTTTTCAAGTGTTGGTCTGCATGGATTAGATTGGTTCAAAAATTATGCTACATACTAACATCTCACTTAGAGAAGCATTGATAACTAGGGAGCATGATGACATTAATTCCCTCCTAATTCAGGAGCAATCTTCAGCAGTACATGCTTACAAATCCCTCTGAGGATTGAATTCACGACCTTCTGGTTATGAGGTGAGCTTCTTTGATTATTCAGTCACTTGGGGATTATGAAATGGAAGCCCATCAGTATTAAATTCTCCTGATTAGGGATAAATAACGCGGACATCAGCCAGTGTCATCAGCGAGTATCTGTGCTGAAACGCACCTTCCCGGACCCTTCTTGAAACGACTTCTCATGCTGAAGTCAGTTAGCTGAGAGAACTAGAATAAATTTCAAGTGTTGTTATGTGGAGATTATATTGATTTCTAGTTCCATCACCAAGTGAGGTCAATCAGAGAACTGCTGAAAACCAGGAAGTACTGGTTTCGTCCTAGTTTGGGTGATCTTCAACGGTAAACAACAAGACTATTATCCACAAAGGGTCAAACTCAGTGCCTACAGGTTAAACGATGGGCAGTTGACCATCCAGTCACTTGGATAGGAACTACCTGCCAATGAATATGAACGTCTGTGAATCCGTGATGTGTATACAACGCAATCGTCAGCCAACTGCATCCTTGTTTTCCGCGGTCTCGGTATCTGATATCATTCTGTGATCATAATTGAAATAAATACTTATGAAAATTTAGAATAGTATGAAATTAATTAATTATGATTACGGCTCAATTTATTATTTATACCAAGTCAGGTTAATCAGAGATTCGTTGAATAAATAAATACATAAATAATGGAATGATCAACTGATCAATTATTGATTTTAAAGCTTTGAAATTAACCAATTCATGTGAATATTAATTAATATTAGGTGCATACTGATGAAGAGTCCCAAACTAGGACGAAACAGCTGTCCAGTACTCCCAGGTTTTCCAATGGTTCTCCAACCAATGTCAGCTCATAATAAAATCCTTTAACCAATCAACCAAATCCCTACAAACCAATACTTGAATATCAATGAGATGCCCA